GTCATTAACGTTCCTTTTGCTTTTTTTCTTTAGATGACGCCCTTTCTAGACCTGGATTTCGGTTTGGGCTATTAAAGTAAGTTGGGGAAATTAATTTTTGTTTTTTTTTTGTCTTTAGGAACGTCATTAACGTTCCTTTTGCTTCTTTTCTTTAGGTGACGCCCTCCCAGATTTGGATTTCATAAAGGTAAGTTGGTGAGGTTATTTTTGAGTTTTTATTGTCTTTGGGAATGTAATTAACGTTCCTTTTGCTTCTTTTCTTTGGGTGACGTCCTTCCTGAACTTTGATTTCAGCTTGGGCTATTAAAGTAAGTTGGAGAAATTAATTTTTGTTTTTTTTTGTCTTTAGAAACGTCATTAACATTCCAGGACCCCGAGCAATACTGAAATAGGTAACAAGAAATAACGCGTAGAATAGGCTAAAATAATCATGAAAATCTTTCCTTTTTTAGATAAATTTTGATAACGTTGGTAAGAAATATATTACTTTATTTAGTAACTGACTGACATTATCATAATTCCGGCCCTGAAAAAATGCGTAGAGCTAATAGTAAAATTTTGCCAATTTCCTATGACCTATTTATATATTGTTCAGGGTCCTAACATTCCTTTTGCTTCTTTTCTTTAGGTGATGCCATTCCTAACCTGGATTTCAACTTGGGCTATTAAAGTAAGTTGGAAGGTTATTTTTGGGTTTTTTTTTGTCTTTGGGAACGTAATTAACGTTCCTTTTGCTTCTTTTCTTTAGGTGACGCCCTTCCTGGATTTGGATTTCGGCTTGGGCTATTAAAGTAAGTTGAGAGAGGGTGTTTTGCTTATTTTTTTTTTAGGAACATTATTAACGTTCCTTTTGCTTCTTTTCTTTAGGTGATGCCCTTCCTAACCTGGATTTCAGCTTGGGCTATTAACATCGGGAAATTTTTTGGGGAGCAGATCTGCGCAGATTTTCAGAAATTATATCTGCGCAGATCTTATACCCTGGCTCAAAATATTAGAGGAAATATTCAATAAAAAACTGCGCAGATTTTATAAATAACAAAGTTCTGCGCAGATTTTGTTATTAAATTCTGCACATATTTTACAAAATAAAAATCTGCAAAATTCATCAAATAATAATAAATTATACAAATTTTGATTGTTATTTTAGCATTATCTAACATCAATTTATTAATTAAACGCACTACAAGTTTATCACTTTACTATACTATTTTATTAATGTACTAATAGCTAAAGTTTTACTGTAATTTACATGTTGTTAATGGTTTGGATATTATTCCAGTTGGTTCGATTCCAACAAACAACTAGTGCTCTACACGAGCCAAGCTGGCTCATAAGCTGACTCAAGCTTTTCAAGCTGAGCCAAGCCAAGCCATGATTAAATTGACTTGGTGGCTCACGAGCCAGCTTGGAAGAGCTCGAGCCAGTTATTAGGCTCAGCTCAAAAAGCTCGAGCCTGTAACAGACTTGGCTCAAAAAGCTCGAGCTGGCTCATGAGCCAAACGAACTATTATACAAAAAATGTTGCGAAACGTTTTTATATAATAATGCATGCATAGACGAAACGTTTTCGCAACTTTTTTTCACTGTTTATTAAAAAACGTTGCGAAAACGTTTATTTAAGTTTTTACATGTAAAATTGAAAAAAAAAACGCCGGAACTAATGATTCCGGCGTTTTTACATGTAAAATTGAAAAAAAAATGCCAGAACTAATGATTCCGGCGTTTTTACATGTAAAATTGAAAAAAAAATGCCAGAACTAATGCTGTCTCTTATACACATCTCATTTTGGGGGGTAAAAATAAAACTTTTTCTGGGGGAATGTCCTCTCATATTTTTTCTGAAACATCTGCCACATCTGCCACATCCGGGACAACCCTCTCATTATATCCATTATTCCTTCCTTTTCTATTGTTTTCTAGTTATTTGGTATATATATTTGTTCCATATGTTGTCCCAGATTGTGGCGGATATATGGGGATTTCTGAGCCCCGTAGGGGCGATATAGGTACTGCGACGGGTCGTAGACCCGGAGGTGGGTGGTGCTTGCACCTCCCACATCCAGCCCGACGACTTTAACCTTGATTTATAAATATACTGTATAGTTCAATGTATACAGTATATGTACACTTTCATATAATTAATTGTAATAAAAAAACAATTGCCGTAAAATGAAATTTTATTAACAAACCATCAATTAGCAATGGTTACACAATCAAAGCCACCCATTTTACTCATCCCATACATTAACGTAATTTGTTCCTTGTTCATCATAATAACCCGAATAGCCATCATCCTCCACCTCCTCATATTCACTCTCATCAGATTTATCCTCTTCATTTCCATGTTCCTCATCACTTTCA